GAAATCGGAGGTGGTGGGTGTATTCTGTATAATTACCCTTTTTTTTTTATAAAGTTTAATTTAATTTCTCTATTCCTTTTAAAAAAAAAATAAATAACAATAATATAATAATAAAAACACTAAATAAAAATAACAAAACTCTCAAAAATAAAAATAATATAAAATATAATCAATTTTGAAAAGAATAAGTAAGAATAAGATTTAAATAAGAGAATTAATAAAAAAATTTAAAAAAAAAATTAAAAAAATTTGTTCTGTGATAGAATACATTATATAATATTAATTAAAATGTATTGTTTTTTAGTTACAAGTGGATTTATAAAAATAAATTTTAATTCAGTAAATAAATTAAACGGGTATGGATCAATTACAGACGGAACATACAAATTAGAAGTTCAAGTAAAAAACTACGAACATGCATGTTATTACGAAAAAAGACAACAAATCCAAATTAAAGGAATCATTAAAATAACAAGTTAGTTAAAACATATTTTCTTATTTTTTAAATTTTCTTATTTTTCTTCTTTTTTTATTTAAAAAATTTTTTTTCTTATTTTTTTTACTTATTTAATTTTTTAAATATATTTTTATATTTTTAAATATATTATTCTTTTTTAATATTTTTTTATTATTGGTTTTTAATTACAATCATTAACTATTAAAAAGAAATTTAATTTAATTTATCTTCAAAAACATATAATAGACTCTCTCTTTATTCAATAAACATTATTAAATAAAAATATTAAATAAAAGTTGAAAACTTTGATTATATCAATAACACTTAATAAAAATAATAACTCTCTGAAAAATAACAATAATAATATATAATAATATAAAATATAAATAACAACAATAACAATAATAATATAAAATACAATCAATTTTGAAAAGAATAAATAAGAATAAGATTTAAATAAGAATAATTAATAAAAATATAATAAAAAAATAGTAGTAAAATAAAAATAAGAAAATAATAATAAACAAAAAACAATAAATAACAAAAAATATATAAACAATTTTGTTCTGTGTGTTGGCGATGACCGCCTCTCAAACAATGCGCGCCCTGCCACGTACACGATTGGCCCATACGAATAGGACCTTAAGTCCGACATCTTTACCCCCTCTTTGAATACATTCTTCTTCTCTTTGTACCGCTTGTGTGTAACGGTCACTTTATATATTCATCTATGCTCACAATAATAAATGTTATATCGTTACTGGGAATAATCGTTCAATCAATTAATTCTCCTTCCTCCTATACGGGCAAAGGTTCAACAGGTTGTGGGCCCAGGTTGGAAGCGCGAGAAGGAAAGAAAGATACAAAAACGAATTCTAACCAAACTATCATAGGAGAGGTTAAGAAACGAGTAACGAGTATAACGTATCACATCGTATTCAAATAAAAGGACAATGAATTCCAATCTAACAAGAATCGAGACTCTCAACAAGGAGAACTATGATACGTGGAAGATGCAGATGGAAGCGCTCTTGGTTAAGAATGACGCGTGGTTGTATGTCAACGGTGAATACGCTAAACCGGAACTCAAGCCAAACGACGACAACTCTCTAATTCAAGTCAATACATGGATCAAGAACGACAACAAGGCAAAATCGGACATTATTTTGGCGAACAGTCCATCCGAGTTAAAGCAGGTGAAGGGGTGTGCAACTTCGCGCGAAGTATGGCTCAGACTCGAGAGCATTTACCAATCTAAAGGGCCTGCAAGGAAAGCAACGTTATTAAAGCAGTTGATATTGCAACGCATGGAAGACTCAGGTGATGTACACGAACACATTCGTAAATTCTTTGATACCGTTGATAAACTTAACGAAATGGAAGTAGAAATTAATCCAGATCTATTAGCGATTATGCTACTATACAGTTTGCCACCTAGCTTTCAGAATTTTAGATGCGCGATAGAATCTCGTGACGCACTTCCGACACCAGAAATGCTTCGCATAAAAATTAAAGAAGAGAGTGACGCTCGCAGGAATGATTCACAGACAGCGACGCAAAATGCCTTAGTTGCCAATAAACGTTTTCAAAAACGTCGAAATCAAAGTAATGAGAATAATAAGAAAGACAAATCTACTAAAGGTGAATCTTTCAGATTTCAATGTCACCGATGCAGGAAATTCGGTCACAAGGTAATCGATTGTCGTAGCAAGGATGACACTGCACCCCCCGCAAAGAAGTCCGAAGACGTTAGCCTATATGCCGTTTCAGAATCACCAATGCAAAACGCAGCACTTCAAGCTGAGATCGGAGATAAATGTAAAATTTGGTGCTTGGATAGTGGAGCCACATCTCATTTCTGCAAAGAACTCGATGCCTTCACAGAAACGTTTGATTCTGAACATGCCACTTTGAACTTAGCGAACAATGCATCAACGGAAATAAAGGCAAGAGGAACCGTGGACTTTCCAACGAATGTGATCGGGAAATCGAGAAATATTCTAAAAAACGTACTACACGTACTGGATCTGCGCACTAACTTGATTTCAGTGAGTAAGATTATCCAAAATGATTACGAAGTAACTTTCAGAAGAGACGACGCCGTCATAGCGGATCGCGATGGAAACGTCAAATTAATAGCCAGACGATGCGGCGAGTTATATTACATTCACGAAGATCGACGACCCGAATGCAACGCGATCTCGGAACCCCCGGAAGAACCATCGAACTCTTTAAAAGCTTGGCATCGACGGCTCGGGTATTTAAATACCAAGGATCTAATCAATGCGACAAGATAATGAAGGGACTTGACTTCAAGGATAGCAATATTGAAATGACGTACGACATTTATCCTCAAGGAAAAATGGTAAGATCTCCGTTTCCAAAGAAGTCCGATAGAAAAACGAAACCACTTGAATTGATACACTCAGACGTTTGCGGCCCAATGCGAGTCGAATCAAACGGAAAGGCCAAGTACTACGTCACTTTCATTGACGACAACTCGAAATGGTGCGAAGTTTATTTTCTAAAATCTAAAGACGAAGTCTTAGAGAAATTCAAGGAATTTAAAAACACGGTCGAGAATCAAAAAGAAGGAAAAATAAAATCCTTACAATCCGACAATGGCAGAGAGTATAAAAACAATGATTTTGACTGCTTTCTAAAGAAATATGGAATCATCAGAAGATTCAGCGTTGCGTACAATCCGGAACAAAACGGTACTGCGGAAAGAAAGAACCGAACTCTAAACGACATGGCAAGATGTCTTCTGATACAGTCAGGCTTACCGTCATCTTTCTGGGCGGAAGCAGTATCGACGGCCAACTACATCAGAAATCGATGTCCTACGAGGAGTTTAAATAGGAAGACCCCATACGAAGCTTGGACCGGGAAGAGGCCGAACGTCAGTTATTTTAAAGAATTTGGACGCAAAGTCTATTGCTTGAACAGGAAACCTGGAAGAGGAAAATTCGATCCACGCAGTAAAGAAGGAATCTTTCTTGGATATTCCAACGACTCGAAAGGATACAGGGTGTGGATACCATCCGAGAGGAAAGTCGAGATTACTCGCGACGTTAACTTTTCGAAAATGCCGAAAATCGAGCTAAAGAATTACGAAAGTTTTAAAACTGCGGAACTATTTTTTATTTTTAGGTAGAACTGTAGAACTATGAAAAGTGCTACTGGAACTGTTGTCGTTTTTTTGATATCGATAGAATGTCGTGCCAGCTTCACAGATCCCACGCCAGCACTCTAATTGTTTCCCTGCCTTTCGCGGCTTACGCGTACCGTATTATTTCGGTCGTGCCGAAGAAGAGGTTCGATAATCGGCGGTCGGGAACGCCCGACGGAGGCAGAGAGCGCCCTACCCCGTTTCGTAAGCCGATTATCAAGATTCAAGTGTGGCGGAGATTCAAGGAAAAGGAAAAGGAAAAGAGAAAAAAAGAAGACGGGCGGATAGCGGTGAATCGCGTGCCGAGGATCGCAACGGGCAACGGGGTCCGGCGGCCAGGAACGCCCGACGGAGGCAGGATACACCCTACCGCGTGGTTCGTCGGAACCAACGTTGCTGTGGAGTTGGCGACGGAATCGAGTGCTATCGATGCAGACTTAAAACGGTTTTTCCGGCGGCCGGGAACGCCCGGCGGAGGCAGAGTACACCCTACCGCGTGGTTCGTCGGAAACGTTTGCGTCTAGTAATCGGATTCGGAGCAGCGGAGCGAAATCTAGGAGCTTGTGACTGGATCGAGGTGCTGTCGGAATAAGCGCGCGAGCCGCCTTCGGAGCGGTATCTTATATTACAGCCGCCAGCCCCGTTCGCAGAATTCCGGCCACCCTCGGTATTCCCCGTCAATCGGTTTCTCGCAGGAGAAGTTTTCCGATCGACGGTCCTCGACGGCGGCTGCTGTACCTGTGAATTATGCTTTATTCGTTAAAATATATTCGGGCGCATCGCGCCCTCGTCACCGCATCGCAGGCTTGATGCAGCGGCATCTGGCTGGGAAATTTTGCCGGGAACGATGCTCTTTCGGGGACATCGTTACAATTTCATCATCAGAAACATCTTTTCGTAAAAGTAAACGACCACGCAACGATTCCATCTCGTCAGGAAGCCAATCTTCTAGTGTGGTTGGTGATCTTTTGATGAAAGAAATATTAAAACCAGTTGAAGAGGAAGAAGCTTTCTGTCAGTTTTTACTCGCACGCCTCAAGAAATTGGATAGGAAACGTTATATAAGATTAACGCACAGCATAATATCAGAAGTGATGAAAGCTGAAGTAGAAGAATTATAGATTAAAGGAGGAAGAACTATGGACAGGAATAAAATAAAACGTTATTTTCATATATGAACATAAATACATTGGCATAAAATAGATTATTTTACAGATTATTTTACTTAGATTATTTTATTTGAAAAAAATTTTGAATGTAAAAATTGAAGTACATTAGATGTCACTTCTTTTTATTAAACCTTTATATGAAATAAATAGAATAGTTATTATTTCTTAAGTTTAAGAAAATTCGAACTTCATTAATAACCAATCACAATCCCCACTGCCATGGAACAGCACCTTCATTTAAAAAGTAGTCCTTGAATTTTTCTCTTCCTAAAGCAGCAATACGTGAGTGTGTATTGCTGCCTGCAGATCCATAAGGAGTCAATGCTGTATTGTTTTGCAACTCGTTTCTCCATGATCCTCTAATAATTTCACATCCATTGAGCTCATCGGCAAATCCACGGTCACAGTAATTTGGCTTATCCATTAAGAAATTGTGAAGTACAACGCAAGCCTGCACAATTTTATCAGCTGTCAGCAACGATGTATAGATTGGTTTAGTAAAAATTCGCCAGCGAGCTATCATTATGCCAAAAGCGTTTTCAATGACTCTTCGTGCTCGACTTAAGCGGTAATTAAAAATCTTTTGCTCATCTGAAATTGCTCGTCCAGGATAAGGTCTAATAATGAAGTTGCTCAATTGGAATGCCTCATCTGCTACTATGACATACGGCATTGGCTCTCCATCTATAACAATTGGTGATGGAGATGGTACATTCATCTCGTTATTTCGAAATCGACGACCCATTACCGAGTTCGTGAAAACTCCACTATCACTATGGCGACCTTCTGCGCCTATATCAACAAGCAAAAATCTATATCTTGCTGATGCTATTGCCATTAGGTGAATGCTGTGATGCCCTTTATAATCATAAAAAGATGAACCAGATTTCGGTGGTGCCTGCAAATTCAAGTTTATAAATTATCGTGAAAACATATGGATAGACAATGTATTTTATAAATTTTGTATGATCCTACTATGCTATTCTATTATATAATCTTCATCATAAGTACCACAATGAATACTCATATTACAACATATAACGCGATTTAATATTAAATTATTGATACGAAAGTTACTTGTCGGATATAAAATGTCATTGAAAGGTATTACAATTTACAAAGAATGAAAGATTATCACTATTATATAATAAGGAATAAACTTACCTGCTAATATGCTTTCCATCTAGCGCACCAATGCAATGAGGAAAGTTCCAAAATCTCTCAAATTCATCTGCTACTCCTTTCCATCCACTTTCCGTTGGTTGAAACATCTCATCCTGTAGACTATCCCATAATGCTTTACATGTTTCTTGCACTATACCAGAGACTGTACTTCGTCCAACCCGAAATGCATACGCTACTGAAGACATTATCTCCAGCTGCTAAATATCTATAATAAAAATGAAGAAATAATCAGTTAAAACTTTATTGCAATTTTTTCTAAAGAAAACACAATCTTTGGAAGTTTCGTTGTATTCTAAGACCTTACCTTAATGTCATGTATAATCTATCTCGAGCAGAAATAGGTTCTCGATAATGTGTTGGTATTTTTTCAATTTTTGGTCCAACTTTTGCAAGAAATTGGTCAAATACAACTCTTGTCATACGAGTGTATTGAAAATGGACTTCGGTATCAGTCATTCTCATTTCTTCAATCAAGTGGTTTCCATCTCCTTGCTCCAATCGAAGTTGGTTAATTGGACGAACCCACCATCGCCGTTTTCGCTGTTGAATGTTATCACGATTTCGCAGTTGAGCATGCCATTCCGCCAATAATAATAACCTTTTTTTACGATGACTAAACATTCGTGTTTTGCAATAAATGCTTAACAGTAATAAAAGTTGCTAATCCTCATCACTCATTGTGTATCTACTTTAGTACCTAAAATATAACCCAATAATTGTCATCAGTAGGTGTACATAAACGTCCGCGTGCCTCCACGTATATGTAAATAAACGTTCATAAAATTTTTTAATAGAATATGCTATAATACGCCTATCGTATATAGATTAGGTTTACTTCGTTTACTCTAAATAATCGTATTGAGCTTTAATTAATATTGTCGTTTTTATTGCGAATATACTGCGGAGCACGATAATACAAATCTTATGGTATAAATTTATTATTTTCTTATTGTATTTAATCGTAGCGTTTCGTTTTAAATTATGAAAAATAAAATACTTATTGATTCTATGAACGCCAGCGAACTCTCCGCATAACCCAGCACAACCTCAGCAACGCTCGGTGCGTCACCGCTTTGGTGTGAACAGCCGAAAATAATGTTTTACTGCATTTGTCGCGTGTCGCTCGCCGCTCACCGCTGCGCCGCTCTGGTCTGTAGGCACCTTTATGGCTCCGGCACACTAGACGCGGAAACGCTTGCCGCGCGGCAAAATGTGACGCGGTAGCCAATGAACATGTTAGGAGCTGTAAGCTCATTGGCTACCGCGTCACATTTTGCCGCGCGACAAGCGTTCTGCGTCCAGTGTGCTGGAGCCATTATTATAGGTACTCTAGTTGGAAATAGCGTGCTGCATATGAAAAGTCAGCTTTAGCCTAGAATCCTAGATATCAGAGAAGCGCAACCGGCTTAAGTCAGTATCGCAAAATTACTAAGAAAAGTACAAAAATGGCGTCGTTTGCAGACGAACTATGAAATCCACCAATCGTCTATTAGTCAGCCATTTTTAGTACCAATGAATGAATGTCATGATTAGCTGACACGCCAATCAGGACGTGGCACATCGGTTGCGCTTCTCTGATATCTAGGACTCTAGCTTTAGCTAGCTCCTCTACACCAACAACATATAGACGGAGCATGAACTGCTACTTTAGGCAAGGGAGGACGGAATAATCGGGGCAAAACGGAAGCACTCCCACCACAGCCTAACTAAGGGCAACTATGGCTTATTTCGCCGAGACTCGTTAACAATCGGCTACTTCACCTTTTACTCTGACATATGTATCAACGGTTCTCATCCAATTCTCATCTCATATCTGTTTGGATCTGTTTACGGCACTTATAGCAAAGTTACGTTTCTAAAAATGAGTGTCTGAGTTGTTTCTAAGTGCAAAAATCGGACTAAAAGAAAAAACGAGGAACAGTTAAAGATGGAAAGAATTCTGAAACGAAAAATTTATTATTTATTTATTTTTTTCTTATTTTCCACAAAAGTTTATATTTTATTATTAAGGGTGCGGTCGAGTTGCCACTACGAATACTTCGAAGCGTTTCTTGATTGGCTAATTTGTAAAATTCTTTCTTCTGATTGGTTAATCAAACGCTTTGAAGCATTCGTAATGGCAACTCGACCGCACCCTAAATCAGGATAACACTGCAGTAACAAAACACTACAGTATTATAAATATTATAAATTAATATTAAATGCATTTTATTACATATTATGTTTAGGTAATAATTTATCCAAAATATGTTTACAGCGTTATCGGCACGCTAAAATATATAGTATACATGACGTATTTTATGTATCGATAGCACTACATGCATATTTCGGACCGCGGCTGTTGAGAATTGGTTGAGAACCACCGATTACTATATGATAGTCACGTGGGTAGTCATGTGACAGCCAAACATATTCGAGTCACGACGAAACTAGTCGAAGTGACCTTATCCCTCTCGCCGCGATTATTCCCTACCTCTCGGTGAAAGGCTCCGTCACAATATATACAGTAGCGCAACTCCCCCGATTTTATGTTGCCTAAAATGGAGTGCGCATGCGCGAAATATGGCAGTTACTAGACTATGCCTTTCTCTTTTCATCCTTTTTTCGCTTTGTCAAATCTATTTATTTAGCGCATGCGCACTCCATTTCCGCCAACATAAAATCGGGAGAGTGCGTTACTACATATACTGTGCTAGTGCGTTTTGACAGAGCGAAAAAAAGGATGAAAAGAAAAAGGCATAGTCTAGTAACTGCCATATTTCGCGCATGCGCACTCCAAACGTTAAAAGAAGAAAGGAATGGGCGAATAATATTGGTAGGACCGATTTCGACCCTTCAAAATTGTATTTTGTATGCCAGGTAAGCTTTATGCAAACAGCTTTTGCAACATTTAGAATCGCAATTAATATTACTTATATACCAGAGCCATTTAATTCACTATTGCATCTAATAGATATAGTTTTATAACGTATGTACATATATTGTGACGTGACACTTTGTGTCCGTCACTCGTAAGTGCATTGGCACGGAGATTCTGTGTCCTCTAAACTCGAAGGGCGAGGGCACAAGCGAGCGTGCCAAATTTCTATCTTTTGTTTCGTTTTGTATATTCTTTTATATAAAATATTTAGTAACTTCAGATTTTTAAAGAACGATTATTAGTCACATTAGAGCGTGAGCGGTGGTTATCTTAGATTCGTGTAATGTTGCCGCCTCACTCACGGAAGGAAGAAAGAAGACGTCGTGGAGGAAGCAAGAAACCACCAAAGAAGATCCCGATTGTGTCCTCAAGGAGCGCGGTACACGCAGGTCGTATTGTTTTGTAACCTCTGATAATCTTGATATTATTTGGTGATTGTCGCACCTTTATTGCAGACGACTCGGAGAGAGACGTATTAAGGAACCGTCTCAGCACGGCCCGAACTGTGGCAGCCGCCTCCACTTCTGAGGAGAGCGATAGAAGACCACTGATCAAGACGGAAA